TTTTATCACAAATGCCCCACCCGTCTTAAGACTGTTCAACATGTCTTGCTTCTGTTTATTTTTCAGTAATTGCTAATATGCTATCAACTGATCAATTTTATTTTGGGGGATGATAAACCCACCATTATGTATTACATTTCCGGAAATCTTTTTAACTTTTCGAGAAGCATCTCCAGAAGCCAATCCAGCTAAAGCAGAGAGGCCAACTGTTTTACCGATAGTCAGAACTTATGTTCCTCCAAGTGATAGAATTGTTATCAACATTAATCTACTAACTTGTTTTCATATGTTTGTTTTTGCGAGTCAAATATCCATACTTTTATTTAAATTGCGGTTCTTATTCAGTTTATTGACAATATTTTTTGGCACACAATGTATCAGGTCAATTCAATGCATTTTTATGCAGTCTCAATAAGCACCACTGAGATTCATTTCTTGCTTTCCGATAGTTTTAAATAAATTATATAAAGCTGTGTCATTACTATATACATTATATATAGAGTTATCAGAACCTCTCAAATCTAATGATAATTGGATATTCAATAGTGCCATCAGATTTCTCGATTTTGTTTTATAATGAATAAATTCGTTAATCCTTAAATAATTCCACACTCCAGGTGCAAATATCATCTAACTGAAGGTTGAACCACTGTCGGAACTCTGGCGTCATCTACTCGTTTGATCGTTTGATTTTCATATTTCGTTATCCTTCATTTATATTTCCATTTTTATACGATTGAATAATCTGGGATTTAACATCTTTTAATTGATTACTTTTAAATTTTGCTTGATTTATATTTTTTGTGAGAATTTCTTAGTGAGAGTATCTGTCATATCATCCCTTTTTTGTTGTTTCTCTGCATCATCATAATTTTTAATATCCATCTCATCTAATACCATATTAACGATCTTCTCCATTAAGAACATGGTCAATCTCTTCATCTTCTTCATATTCTGGTGGTAACTCTGGAACACCATCATTGGCTTAATCAAATAAGCCTTCGAATTCATAATCTGGAATTTCATCCTCAACTGATATATTATAGTTCGGAGCTTCACCTTTCCTTTTTCACTTTCTTTTTGTTAATTTATTATCACCAATATCTGCATTATCCGATATGTCATCCAATTTTGCGGTTATTGGTTGGAACATTTTCTGAAAAGATGTTTGACTTGTACTCTCTCCCGATTGATTTTTTAAAATTGTGTCATTTACAAAATTAATTTTTTTGCCTAAATCGGTCATCCGTTTTGCAAGTGCTCGCCATTGAAGCAAACTCGTATGCAATTAGATTACATAATTCCACAAATGACAAGTAAAAATTTGAGATGAACTGACAGGTGTACTCATAGTTAAAATGAATTTATGTAATCTTATCGTATAATAAAAATACCAAATTTCGACATAAGAGATGATGCTGTCACGAATTATAAACAAATGTAGGACTTTATGCCAGATCGATGTTTTAGAATGCTTACATATGCTCCTTGTGTTACTGGTAAAAAAAAAAAACTTCTCTATATGATCTATCAATTGTTATATTATGATAAAGTATTTTTGTATGCTAAAAATTTCGAACAGTCAAAATACCAAAGCCTTGTAAGAACATTTCAACCAATAAGTGATGAAGCTGGTTACGAGGTCATTGAATCAAGTAATGACAAAATAATTCCAGTGTCTGGGTTGACCAATGACAATCAAAAATTGGTAATATTTGATGATTACATTTGTGAAAAAAACCAAAAGGATATAATCGATTATTTCATCAGAGGCAGACATGAAAACTATAGTATGATATATCAGAGTCAGTCATATTATAAAACGCCAAACAATTTGACTTAATTGCTCGCATTTTTGTTTGTTTCATTTCCCATGCAACAATGAAAAATCACTCATATGCCGTGAAAATAACATATCCAAACAACAGTATGCAAAAGCCACTGAAGAGCCATTTTCATTCCTTTATACTTATAAACCAAGAAAATTCATCACGAAAAATGTTAATGAATCAATATAATTAATGTCAAAGAGGCACAATCTCATGAAAGCAGACATGCTGTGAATGTTAATTTTGTCAATACAATTATCAGTAACAGTAATGCAATCATTACCACCAATTATCAGTAGTGTGTTAATGACAGATTAAATCATTCTAATGGCATTACAGATCAGAAAAATATATTTGCATACATCATGAATAAAAGTGGGCAGTTCAGTGACGAGGATGACATTACCAGGGTTAAATTTATTGTTCAAAACTTTCATCACTGCAATAAAAAAAATATGAAATGAAACTCCATTTGGATTCCAGCAAAGGGTATTATTTATCTCATGTTGGGTGAGATATGTATGAACTTACAACTGGTGAATATAAAGTGGTATTTGAATTATACTTCCTCTCTGCATCTATTGACCACTCATCAGTTGACATATCATCCACAAGTAGTGTTGAGACAATTTCCAGGGTGTCGTTCGTTGGGAAGGGTTAGGGCTTGGGATCAGGCGCTCTTATCAGAGCTGGTTGACCAAACGTTTATAATATACAACCCAAGACATCAATAATATTGAAAACACAAACAATAAATGGTTAGATATAAGTATTTTTCAGTTAACCAATGTGGCAAAAGGTGATACAAGAAGAATGAGTTCACAAAACAATTCTGAACAATTACATGGGTTAGTTTATGGTTAACCTCTTATCTAAAAAACTGGTTAAATTAGTATAAACATATATTACACATGAGCTTCAAACAGAGGAGTGTTATAAACTTCAACCATATAGACAAATCCTAGGGTAAGCATAAGATAGATGAAATAACATCACTGAGCAAATTTCTACCATAAGAAGTTCTGGCTATACAGAAAAGACTTTAAAGATTAAAAAAAACTGAATATGTTATGTAATTTATCATCAACCTATTTAATAATTGCTGGTATTATAGCTGGAGGAGTAACAATGAATCCCATTGTACTTGGCATTATAGCAGGCAGTGGGTTGATAATGAAAACATACTGTAAAATGAAAGACTTCAAAAGAAAAAGATCAAATTATGTCGATTTCCTTTTACTACCCATGAAAAGACACTTATTGCATTAAGATCCTTTATGTGAGGAGTGTGATTTGATAAAGAGATTTACTTGAACCAATTAAAAATTGTGGATAATATTATCATAGACCTGTGTCCATTAGTTGATTCTTTTGAAGAAAAGTATAAAGAGAAGTTTACTTGTGATTAATTATTGTGTTGCAGTCATTACCAATTAGTTTCAAATATTGTCTCAGTAGCTGCGATAGTATTCAAGGGTTTTCTTTGATTTGGTTACTTTTATGTAATATGAATTGGCATATCATTTAACATCTGTTTTATGATAAAATTGCAGTCATTACCAATTAGTTTCAAAATATTGATCCAATAGTTGTGATAGTATTCAAGGGTTTTCTTTGATTTGGTTATTTTTATGTAATGTAGTAATTTGCATATCATTTAACATCTGTTTCATGATAAAATTGATGTTAATCATGCGTTTTCTATCACCTTTGATCTGTGCTAAGACATTGTTTATCTTATTTCTGTTATTTGCCGTTTTATAGCTGTCATACTTTTTGGTTAAGTTGAAGATTCCCTATTCAAGGTAGTATTTTCTGTGGTGTATTGATATTCTTTCTATTTTATGTTCATTATCATGAAAGCTACAGAATTCTTCTATTGAATCATAACCATCAATTTGTCTGCAGTTGATGCAAACAATCACATGATCTTTATTCTCTAGGCATTGATCATCACAAAATTTTTCTATAATGACTGATTGTTCCTTTATTTGTTTGTTACAGAAGGGACACATTATATCCTCCAATTTGGCATGAATACTTTATTACAATACATTATATCATAATATTATATGAGATTATTTTTTAAATTATTTGCAGTTTGTGCTTGGTTTCCTTAAGTCGTATTTTATATTTCGTTACTCCTCTTCTGCTTCCAATATATTACTGTCTGTAAAATATCTTATATTGCCCTGCTCATCAAAGTAATGAGCATCATGGTCTAGTTCACTATTATCTTTAAAACTGCTTTTATAACAATCATCTGAATAACCACTGTAATCACTGTCTGAATATATTTCTTCTGAATCCATTTATATTAATATATTACATAAAAAACCAAAAATATGAGCTTATTTCTTGGAATACAACTCTCTTCAGTTTTCTCGGAATTCTTTCTCTTTCATTATGTTATGAACACATTTTTTAATTGATGTGACATGGTAACATTGGACATCCTTAGTCAATATACTATATTCATTTTATGATAATATGATATGAAAACATCAAATTTTGCCAGTAGAACCCAGGTAAAAATATAAGGTGTGATCCTGCCAATCCCACCTGGGATCCCAGGTGTGTCCCATTAGGAATCCCACCTTTTTTAGGTGGGATCCCAAGTGATCCCACCTGGGATTATGGAACATCCTTCATGGGATCCCACCAACTGAAATTGGGATCCTGCCATAGATTCCTGATAGCATCCCACCTGGGAAATCACATCCCAGGCAGGATTAAACCTAAAATCCCACCAATCCCTCCTGGGATCCTGCCTCAAATTTCACATAGTTTCCCACCTGGGAAATCATATCCCAGGTGGGATCACACCTGGGATCCTGCCAATCCCAGATTGAACCCTGCATACCAAAAATTTCAGATGGCTTCCCACTTGGGATTTTAAGAAAAATCCTTGGAGGGATCCTGCCTATCACTGAAGACCACAGATTTATGAAATGTGCCAGATGAGATAATTAATCAATCCCTTTTGTAACCCGATCCTTCAAATTAAGAGGATAAAACTTTCTAGGTGAGCTAGAGACCCCATCAATCCACTAAGGGTCCAAAACTTTCCAACTAGCTATAGAACATACTGACACCTCCAGTGGACCCCATTATCTTACCCAAGCTGTTGATCATACATGATTCAAACAGAACATGAATACACTGACTATATGTGATAAAGATTTCACAATTTATTTGCAATGAACCAGCATGTGCAAGGCTGTGCTCTAAGAAAATTTTAAGGGAGCCCTTCCGGCTCCCAACCATTCCACATAAGAACTGTTTCAACCAGGAGCAGGAAACTGAAGCACTGATCTGTGTAACTTCTAAAGAGAGAGGTAAACACTTCTTCTGTACTTCAGCCAGTCAAGTGACGGCTGACATGGCTTTTCACAATTGACCATTCTCTATCAATCTTTAGAAGCTCACATCCAGCTCTCAACAAATGATCCTTAAAGTAATCTGCCAACACTTGAACTTCTTCTTCACCATATGCAGACAGTTCCATCTCATCTTTTGGCCAAATGTCTGGATCCAGTACCGCTGCAGCTTTCAGGACAGGGTCATTCTCTAAGTAGTCGAGCCTTTCTTACACATTCTGAACAACATCATCCAACACTCTCCGCTTTTTTACTTCAAGCTCTTCAAGATCATTATCATGTTTGACAATGCTGATCTCATTAAAAGAATCCGTTCCTTCTATCTGCTGCAGGAAATGTTGTAGTCTTGGGCCATTCGTCTTCTTCATTTTCATAACTCTCAGTTTTTTAATTTTTTTCATACACTTGTAGGAAAGCTGTGGGATTGTGGAAAAGCTACATTTTAAATCTTTCTCTGAAAATGAAAACTTTCACACCGCGCGACAGAGTGTGATGCTATTTTTAGCGGTGAGCTTGTGTTATTTTTCAAAATGGAAATTGTGCTTCTTTGGATATTTTAAAACCGCTTAAGAACTTTCATTCGAAAGCGCCAAAATAAACAAGTGTAAATATGAAATTGTTATAACCTCAGTTCTCGCCAAATCTTCATAAAGTAATTGCAAGTCGCTTAAACACCTACAAACAAAGTTGGCTTGCGGGAAATTTGCATATACAAAGAAGCTCACTTTGATATAAAGATAAACGCGCTACACTTTCCAAGTCCATCGAAACGCTGAAATAAATCGGACATTGATCATCTCAAGGAAAATCGCGGTGTTCAACACATATTTTTGCAATATCTGTGCAGTTTATCACGTGTGAAGTGAAAGGAACTACTGTTTCAATAATTATTGGAATTTGGGTTCGTGTGAAATCATGTGGAACGAAACGCGACAGTAATTTCGAGATCTTCGAACGTGAACAATTCGACTACGTGTCGCGTAAAATAATAGCAAGTAACGCATATAAATCAATCAAGTAAAAATATAGCAGTCACTCTCTAGATTTGCCACAGAGGCGAATGCTGCACAAGGGGCCGAGTGCCCGGCTGGGCGACCGGAACATTTTTTCTGTCGCCCGGGACCAAATGTTAGTCGCCTGAAGCGACCGGGCGTCGCTAGAGCACAGCCTCGACTGTGTTTGATATTGTTTCAATTACAAATTACTTAACCGAACAGTTTTAAAGAAGAACTGCCCAACTCAGCATTTTACTTTTTCTACATAATTTATGCAGTCCCTTTACAGTGTAATATGGTTCACGTTTAAAAAACTTTGGCTGTTGTATATGAAAGAATAGAAGAAAGACAAAACCTCAATAATTCATGTTATAAAATATTTGACAAAAAAGGTAATGATTTAAATTCTGCTCTCTCTTCAGTCAAATTTTTCAAAGCAAAGCAGGGTAAAATTTCCACACAGCCCCCGTACTATATTATGCATTCAGTTCTTGGGTAGACAAAACAATGACAAAAACAATACTTTGCCCTTGAGAAAACAGATTTGTTTTACAACAGTATGGGGTTGTGCGGAAATGTTACCCAAAGCAGGGTCAGAATGTTCCCAAACGTGACCAAAGTAATCTTGAAACCTTACTGATAGATTTAATTCATTGTAAAGTGTTAGCTTAAGAAACTGCAGCATGTAAGTGACCGATTCGATTCTCAGAATTATTCAAGTTCCAGTTGCGCCGAGCGTTAAGTAAGCTTAATTCAAGCCGTTATATCTACTCTTTGATAAGATTTTGATCACGTAACGAATATCGCAACTTGTACTCACCACAAACTTTCTAAATCCTAGCTTTCTCAATGGCCACTCGATCGTTGTTTGTACCAGTCGATATATGTCAACTGTCGTCCCTTCTTTTAACTTCACGGCGCCAACGACTTCCTTTCATTTACAACACTCACGCTGTTCTCGTTTTCCCATTGAATCACAATAAACCCATCTTTAGAAATGTTAAATTAAACAATAAAAAAAGAAAGAAATAACTTAAAGCCCGAGCGATCAAGCGATTAAAAGAACATTCAAAGATGAGCGCCAAATGGAGTCTCTTTTGTTTCCGACACGGGCATGATCACGTAGATGGTTTGGGAATTGTCACTGGCTAGCAAAGAGAATCCACTGGCTTGCCCTATTGCAGTCTCAAGAGAAGCGCGCAAAACTATTCTGTCTTTCCTGACCGGTGCTCTTCTCTTGGGTGATGGATACCTTGGATCCAAGTTCTGACGATGATATAAATAATGATGTGAATTCACTCTATATAGAAATAATCGAACAAGAATGCACGATTTGTGGCCGAAAGTTGTCGAGGAAACAAAGACTCGAACCCACTTGAGTTATGTTCACGGCAAAGGTGAGAAACAACACAAGCCCGTCACAATTTTGAATGTGATTACAAATTGTGTTTTACCCTCATTTTTTTATAAGAAAGATACAGAAGCAACTATATGCGATTACAGAGGTGCATTGGAATTCTCGTCTACAAATGGTTATGCACAGTCTGAAGGGAAATTCATGTACGAAGATTTACCTCTGTTCATGAAGTAAATGGTTTTTGAACATCAAGGCATACGGACCGCTTAGGTCTCACTTAGTGCAACCTAAAGACGCCCTAGAACGAACAAAATAAAACGGTGTCGTTTGCAAGATCCCATGTGAATGCAGAAAAGTGTATATCGGTGAAACAGGGGAGATCAATGCGAGAAAGGATAAAACAACATGACAGAGATAAACGGTTTGCTCCAACTGAGACCTCTGTGGTTTCGGAGCACGCTAACGAAACGGGGCATATTCCTACTTGGAGCAAGGTTAAGTTTGTTGATCATAACCCTCAGTAATATACACGTAGGGTCAAAGAGGCTATCCATATAAGACTTCATCCTAACAACATCAATAGGGATAATGGAATCGAAATTTCCGAGGCTTGAGTACCCAAGATCAAACAACACAACAGCCGATTATTGCGGACCTATGAAGGAATACCACCTAACAACCGGAATGATAATGAGGATTGAAATGCACTAACAGCAGCGAACCAAACGTGCTACAAATAGCGACACGTAAACAATCGACTTCATCGCCTGATGAAGACTAGCAGTATTGCAATCTAAACGTCGCGATTAACATCCAAGGTGACTCCATCGTGAGACAAACGAATAAAGTTCATCTTCTATCTTTCACCACGATGAAAAAAAACCACATATTTTATTACAATGATGGGTATGTTCTGATTGGACTTTGGACGTTATTTTCATGGTACGTGAAGGAATGTAAGTTTGGCGTGTGCCATGTGAGTAGAGGAGAGTTGTGAGGTAAAGGAGCGGAAAAAACACGTTTTAACTTTAATGGTACAAAAAGTTAAATGCGAATCTTTCGCATCCTGATAAAATTTGACCTTGGTCGACGAGCCTCTCGCGAAGGCCAAAAACCATCACACTTATCAAAAGAGCCCAAAATTTCTGTTTAATGTCATTTTTTGCGCACAGCCCCCTGATCCACGGCATCATTTACAAGAAATCAATACCCAAACGCTGTGATTGATACAAGTTATCCAAATGCTGTGATATAATTGGTGAGAGACACATACCCTTATGCGGCATTAGAGACACATAACACTTAACAATAGATAAATTAATAAAACATTTCAAACTGCCATACGCGAATACATGCGATAGTGTACAAGGTCTGAGCTTAAGTAAAAAAAATTACGATTTTTGTTTGCAATATACCATAAAAATTATGTTGATAGATGTTTTTTTTTATGTGGATCGCTCTAAGAAGAAAAAGAGACCTTAAAATCGTACAAGTCTTAAAGATTCGAAAGAAAAATTAATTTCTCTAAAAAAATCGTCGGTAAAATTACATTTCACTCAAAAAAATTAATTGATATCAACAACAGGATAAAAAAGTAGGCAGCGCAAAAAAAGACTACATCGACACTGAATGGTTCAAAACACAGTACCGAGATAATAAAGCTACTTATTATGTAAAACACTGTTTGAGGTTTCAATACTAGAAGACAATAAAGTAACAAGCAATATTACTGCCGATAAAAAAGGCAATAGATAAGTACATACAATTACAAATTGTTAATTAATGTGTATAAAATGTAATGTCACTAGGAAATAGAAGAAATCTCATGGTAAACTCAAAAGGATATGACGTCACGATCCATTAACAAACCAAAATCCAAAGAAGTTAGAACGCCACAACACAGTTGTGTCGACCCATATCTTACAAGTAACACAATCACAATCTCTTCAATAGAGAAGATATATAGAGAATGATACATGTGCGTGCGTCGATATTGAATTTCTCTCAGTTCGAGTGTTTAACTCTATAGCGAGATATCGAGTTGAACATGAGAACAGAAATTTCATATCTACAAGCAACCACGTACTATTTTGTTTATCATATAAACACAATAGCCCTTAACCGCACTGAAGATGGAAAAATGCGTTGAATTCAATTTGAAATTCAAGAAATGTTATAACTTAGCCAGTAAATTTGTCTAATCAAATTCAATTGCGCGAGCGTGCTTCATATTCCTATTGTGGACGCTCATGATGCTCAGCAAACAAATCCCTCGAGAAAAAAAATTTTCCATCGGGTTGAAAATGTTATAAAACAATTGGTTCATGCGTCAGCTGTGCGTTCGTCGAGATATGAAGCACAGGGGAAGTTTGGGTAGCACTCAAGAAGCTAGAGTTGCTCGAGGCGTAGCCGAGAGCAACTCTTACGCATCTTTCGTGCTCTCCAAATTTCCCGCGTGCTTCATATCTTGATGAACGCGCGCTGACGTATGAACCAATTGTTAAATGATATATAGTTTTTCCAAGAATTAATTCCATATCGTTTTCCCAATAATTAGTTGTCAGCAACTGAAGCCAGGTCACAGTAATCCAAGCTCAAGAATCATTTGACGAAACCTCTGCGATGTCTAAGTTGTGCCAGAGATTGGAGGAAAAATGCGATCACACCCCTAACGATGCGCAAGTTGTTGAAACCATAACTTGTCAATTTGCGATGTTACCCCCCATAAAGTGTATGAAAATAAATACTTTTGTTCATTTTGGATTTCCGTGTTTTAGCCATCGTAATATAATATAAAACAAGGTTTCCCACTCACTCACATATTATTTCCATTCGTATTCCTAAAACCTGTTTGAGCTAGAATGACAAATATATAAAATTCCTGCTGATACAAGTTTTTTCTTTTAACAAATTCCGAGCACCTAAATGTTTCCAAGAGAGCATTTCAGTCAAAAAAGATGATGCACTCAATGAAAACTCTCTCTAATTTATCTTTCAGGCTCGTGACAGACGTAGACGTGCCAGCCAAAAGCTTGCAAGTGAAAAGCAAAATCCTCCCGTGCAAGTCTGCGTTTTTGCTATTGGACCTTTTTAAGAACGTGCCTAACAAGAATCGGTGGAAGAATATTACCACTTTGCTTCATGGAGCGTTCGACTCTACTGGTGGGCACGATTTTTATTTCATCGTTTTTCTTGATCATAACACTGTGGAGTGAAACAAGCTATCCACGATTCAAGCCTTGGAATGAAACAAGTCATCCACGATTCAAGCCTTGGAATGAAACGAGCAACAGGACAGAAATCGCATCCGATCGAACTTGCTTCAGTAATGACACCAAAATCATTTTGTTCTACACTGCTTATTTTGGTGACAAACCATGGCCCACAGCCAAATCCACGGAAGAGTATCTTTCGAAATGTCCGACAAAAAAATGCAAAATAACCTATGATGTACGCGATATAGGAAAAAGTGATCTAGTTATTTTTCATGTTCGTGATATACTACGTTCTGTTACATCGGAAAAAATTCAACAGATTCACAAGAACCGGTCCCCACAGCAAAGAATGGCGTTTCTTACCCATGAATCCATTGTCAATGAGGCAGATTTAAAGAACCGTCTTTCTTGGCCGGAGGGGTTCTTTAATTGGACAATATCTTACAAAAGGGAGTCAGATATTTACTATCCTTATGGAGCTTATTTTCCCTTGCCGTCAGCGGAGAGACCAACGAAAATTCCTAACTATGCAGCTGGGAAAACCAAATCTGTGTCATGGGCTGTTTCAAATTGTGGGAGAGCTCGAGATAAGTACGTAAAAAAACTTTTGAAATACATTAAAGTTGATATATATGGCGGCTGTTCGGGAAGATTTGGCCAAAACAATAATTGCCCGCGATCAAGAAATTGCGATGATATTTTCAGCACATATAAGTTTTATCTGGCATTTGAAAACAGCGTGTGTCCTGATTACATTACTGAGAAATTTTGGCGCACATTTGGTTGGAATTCAGTGCCTATAACACTGACAAGAGATTTCTATACACCAGATATAGTCCCTCCAGGCTCGTTTATAAGTGTGCAAGACTTTCCATCTATTAAGGCTTTAGCGGAATACCTGTTGTACCTCGACAAAAATGACACTGCTTATAATGAATACTTCACATGGAAAAAAGAATTCGTCGCTAGACTGATGACTGGATTTCCACATACAGCCTGTGACGTATGTGATGCTCTTCACGATGAATGTGTTAAACCCAAATTTTATAAAGATATATTCAAAACTTATTGGAACGATGGTGCTCGTTGCAATGAAAACCACAGGAAACTTTTACAACTTATAGATAGTGAGGAAGAGTGATCAATGTAAGTCAAAAATCCATGCAGCCTAGTCTGGGGTAATTGTGGCAAAAAATTATCTAACAAGCTACTAAAACTACAAAACCGAGCTGCACGTGTAAAAAATTCATCAAACTATGACGTAGATGTCGAATCCTCGGTTACCCAATAACCCACGTGTAAATTTATAAGGTAAAATGAATCAAACTATTCTCTGAGGGACTCGGTAAACAAACTTGTTGTCCCCTTTCCAAGGACTAACTACTTGAAAAATAGTTTTAGTTATAGCGGCGCAACCCCATGGAATAGCTTACCCTGTAAAATTAGAGAGTCTGGTTCATTTTACCAATTTAAATACCTTCTCTATCGTAATTTTTAAAAACGGCATTCATGGAAATCAGGTTTTTAAGTGGCACATTGTTGTAAGTTAATATA